CGAGTAGGGTGGGTAGGACATGGGGGTGGCTGTGAGAGATGAGGCCCGGAGGCACGCAGAGGCCAAGTTGGAAAGGCCTTGAATGCCGAGCTCTGAGGGCTGAGGCTTCGCCAGGAGGCAGCAAGCAGTGTGCCAGCCTCCGGCTCCGGGCACTTGTGACCGTTCGTTCCTGCCATCTGGGCCGGAAATGTGATTCACAGTAGGTGTGTGGCTTCTTCACATGCGCCTGGCAGAGCAACCTGACCAGCTTCCTCCCTCCTCCTCCCAGGTACCAGGGCAAAGAGGGCTGGGCCCCGGCCTCGTACCTGAAGAAGAGCAGCGGGGAGCCCTCATCCCTGAAGCTGGGCCCCGGCTCCCCTGCCCACACGGGCGTGCTTGACCTGGATGGAGTTTCCCGGCCACAGAACTTGGGGGGCCGGGAGAAGGAGCCGCTCAGCAGCCCGCGGGACGGCCGCTGTGAAGGCCGCCCGGTGCCGGACGGCGACGTCAAGCAGAGTGAGTGGCGCCCACCGCGTCCCGGAGGCTGGGGCCTAGCGGGCGAGGCTCTGGGCTCGGTGCTCCTCATGCACTGTCCCTCCCCCTGTAGATAAGAAAGCAGAGCCTCAGAAAGCCCAGGGAACTTGTTCCAGATCGTTCAGCCAGCAAGTTGCAGAACCGAGTGGAGAAACACTGCTTTCCTGCTCCAGATCCTGTTTTTCCGCTGTTTCTCAAGCCCCTCCTGTCTGCCCAGGATCTGATCGTTAGTCTCATGGACTCCACATAGCCACCTCTGAGGGACTTCCTACTTTATTTTTTAAATAATTCTTTAAATATATTTTTATTGATTTCAGAGAGAGGAAGGGAGAGGGAGAGAGAAAGAGAAACATCAATGATGAGAGGATTATCGATTGGCTTCGTCTTGCATGCCCCCTTCTGGGAATCAAGCCTGCAACCTGGGCATGTGCCCTGACTGGGAATTGAACCGTGACTTCCTGGTTCATGGGTCAACGCTCAACCACTGAGCAACCCCAGCCGGGCACTAACTTTTATTTTACAGATTAGAAAACAGAGAAATTAAGCGGTTTGTCCAAGGCCCCCCAGCTAGTAAACGGTGGGACTTGAACCCAGGCCCATCTGGCTCCACACCAGTGCTCTCTCTACACAGTCCCATTTCTTTTTTTTATTTTCTTTTTTTTAAATATATTTTATTGATTCTTTACAGAGAGGAAGGGAGAGGGATAGAGAGTTAGAAACATCGATGAGCGAGAAACATCGATCAGCTGCCTCCTGCACACCCCCCACTGGGGATGTGCCCGCAACCAAGGTACATGCCCTTGACTGGAATCGAACCTGGGACCCTTCAGTCTGCAGGCTGACGCTCTATCCACTGAGGCAAACTGGTTAGGGCTACACAGCCCCATTTCTGAGCTAGAGGAAGAAAAAGCTGACCCTTTTAAGTTGGGTTTACTCAACAACATTTCTTTATCCATCTTGCCTTCCGAAGCCTCCCCATATATATTTTACCACTTAATATTCCCAGCACACCCGAGAGCAGGGCTCATTGCTGTCTGCCGCATCCCTAGGGCTCCACCCGCACGCACGTGGCTCTGTCCTGGTGTTCAGAGCAGAAGGCATCTGTCTGCTGGGAAAAGACTTCCTCTTAGTTGTAGGGATGAAGTCACTTGTTCCTGGCGGGGCTTCTCCAGCTGTTTATAGTGGCTCTTCTAGTCCAAGAACTTCTTGAGTTTCACATTCTCTGCTTAACCGCTCTGAGAAAGCACTGACGAGCTGTGGCAGGGTTCTGTCCAGCACCTGGTTTCTGTGATTCTATTCTTTCATGGCCAAGAGCACAGGGGGATTCCCATTAACCTAGAGGAGCAAACGAAAATCTGAAACCTTGTGTTGAGATAGGTTCAGGTGCTCAAAGACACCCCCACCACCACCACAAACATACACCCTATAACAGTGGCTCAAATAATTTAGATGTTTGTTTCTTTTTTTAAATATTTTTTTATTTTTTTTGGTGGGGGGGGATGTTTATGTATTTCTTAAAAAAGAGTCCAGATATACGTCCAGGGCTGCAATAACAACTGCATGCAGTCAAGAATCTTATTACACTGCATCTATTGTGTGTTGCCCTCATCCCTCTAGTCTAGGATGGTTCGCCACTAGTCCAACCAATGAAAAGAGGCAGAGAGAAGTGCCAGACTTGACTCAGAAGCTACCTCATTCCCATTCTCTCACATTCTATTGACCAGAACTTAGTCACATGGCAATACCTAGCTGCAAGGGAGTCTGGGAAATGTAGTCCTTATCTAGTCAGCTAAGTGTCTGGCTAAAACTCTTGCTATTTACTCTAATAGAAGACAGAGGAGATGGTTGTTTAAGAGATGAGCAGTCATCTCCACAACCCAACTGCCAAACTACCCCTCCGTGTAGACCCAGGCTAAACCAGCTCTGGCAACACATGGGGTGCCTTTCTCAATAGTCTGCCTTTAGCCAGGAGCCTTGGACCTCTGCAAAGTCACCCTCGTCCTGACCCTGAGGCCCAGAGTGAGGGCAACACCAACTCCAGAGTAAAAATCCCTGAAGTCATCAGCCCAAGTTGGTTTGGTTCTGTTTACGTGTTTAAAGTGGGTTTGTTCTAGAGCACAAAGCCAGGGGCAGTGACGTGTATGGCCTGTCTGCCATGTGCCAAGAGCCCTACACGTATTGTTTACTGTCACCCGCACCGCTGCCCTGGGAGGCAGGCCTTACTCCCTGTCTGCAGGTGAGGGTCCTGTGGCTCCGTGAGTCATATGACTTGCTGCAGCCGCCTCTGCATTATTCTGAAGCCTACACGCCTGCCCTTCCTAGAAAGCTTTTCAGTGCTCCAGCACACGGCTGTCCAGAGCCAAGTCTGACCGGCCCCTTCCGAACCCAGCTCTTCTCACGGGAAGGGTCACGGCGGCTCACGGACGCCTGTGCAGACCATTATGCTTACCTTGTGTAGGACGGAACAGATCTTCCCTGGTGTCCCCCTCGGGAATTTTATGTGTAGAATTCTGCGCGTGTGTGAAACGAGATCTCCTCTCTTTATAGGATCGCCCAAGATGAGGCAGAGGCCCCCTCCTCGCCGGGATATGACCATAGTAAGTGGCCCCTTGCTTCTGGGGAGCCAGCCAGCCCCTGACCTGAAACTAGCCCCTCACACGTACCTCCCCCTTTCCAAAGACGCTTTCTTCCTGTGCACACAGCGGCCTCGTGAAGCAGCCTGCACAGGTGGAAAGACAAGTTGCCCATGGCTTTTGCCCTCCGCTTCCTGAGCCCTTGTCTTGTCAGTCTCCTCAAACAAGGTCACTTGAGACCAGAACTGCGATGAGGCACAAATACCGTTGGTGGTGCCATTGTGATATTTTACTTGCATACATTTTTTATTCTTTCGGTATCTTTCTAACCAATACATTGAAAAATGGGCCGTCTTTTTTTAAAGCCTTCCATTTAGTGAGCACCTGGTGGGTGCCATGCAGTGCGCTGGGTGCTTCGCTCCGTTCACTGTGGAATGTTTGCAGTGACCCCACCAGGTTGGCCCTGATATCATCCCCATTCCACAGGCGATGAAACTGAGCCCCAGAGGGCGTGTGGTTTGTGCACGGTCACACACGTCATCAGTATTAGATTCTAACCCAGATGGGTCTGACCTGCAAACCTGTGTTCTTTCCACAACCCTCGCTGCCTCTTCAGTTCAGAGAATATCATCTTGCCTCACATTTTCGTGATTGTTGGCAGATGTTTCTTCTCTTTGCTCTCAAGCCGAAGGGCCAGTGACCCATCTAGGAGATAATGATCTGAGTGGTCCTCTTTGTTTAGTCCAGGGGTCCGCAAACTTTTTAAACAGGGGGCCAGTTCACTGTCCCTCAGACCGTTGGAGGGCCGGACTATAGTTTAAAAAAAGACTATGAAAAAATTCCTATGCACACTGCACATATCTTATTTTGAAGTAAAAAAACAAAACGGGAACAAATACAATAATTGTATTTGCATGTGGCCCACGGGCCATAGTTTGAGGACCCCTGGTTTAGTCCCATGGATCCACCAGCACCCCCTTGAGGATGATTGTGTGCCCGAGTCCCTTTGCACCCCCTTTCCCCCCGTCTCCCCTCCTTCAGCGCCATGGTAATGGACTTCATGGGACTTAGCACTGTATTTAATCATACCAGCCTCGCGGTCTCAACCTGCCCAAGCCCCCCATCCCACCCCAAGTGGAGGAAGAGTATTACACCATTGCCGAATTCCAGACAACCATCCCTGATGGTATCAGCTTCCAGGCGGGCCTCAAGGTCGAGGTGAGTGAACCTGCTGACCTACCTGTGATCCTGTGATTCTTTTTTTTTTTTTTAATTTATTGTAACATTGGTTAATAACATTATATAAAGTTTCTGGCTTAACCAAGTTTTTTTTTTTTTTTTCTTAATGATAAATTCTACACCCTCTATTTTCCTCTTCTCTCATTTTGCTTCCTGGTTCATTTCAGTATCGCATTAGCCTACAAAATTCATGAGCAGAACCACATTGTGCCAGCAGTGGAGCTACCAGGCACTCCTAACTCCTTGCCTGGCCTACGTATCTTCATAGCATGTGTAATGATGACGATATAGGCACCTCTCTGTGCCCGGTACGTTCCATACTGATCTTCACAGAAGTTTCGGGAGAAGTCAGTATCTTCAGCCCATTTTACAGATGTACCTGAGACAAAGCGAGGTTAGGTAAATTGCTCATGGTTACATAGCTAGTAGATAGTGAAGCTGGGATTTGAGCCTAGGTATCTTTGGTTTTGAAGACCAGGCTCTTTTCTTTCCTCCTCATTCTTTTGATTTTGAATTTGCTTTTATTCATAATAGCTCTTAGCTTCTCTCTAGTAATGAAAACTCCCACAAGTCATAATTAAGAGCACAAATGTTTAGAGCTTTCACAATAGTACTTTGGATAGAGTGTAAGCTTAGCAAATCCTCATTGATGTATTTCATTTTGATTATTCTTAGTATGTTGAATTCACGGATGCGCCCACAATGACTTGTACTAGTATGCCCAGAGTTGCCTTTAATTGTTACCATAGCTACCAAGTGTTGGAAAAATGCCAGTCACCCTCAGGTGAAGGGCTTACAATTATCAGCGCCCTTTTCTGGAGAGCGTCCAATGGGACTTAAGTATATGCCTGTCACGTGCACCCTGCTCTTTCAGTAATCTCTGCTGTAATTTAATAATAGGTAACGTTTACCTTGCAGCATCAGCCACCTGCTGTACGCATTAGCGTGTGTGGCCATCGTGAAACCCTGCAGCGGGTGTCATTGTTCTTACCGTTACCTCTTTTGAGTGGTGTGGAACCTCAGGAATGTGGTTTGTGCAGGGCCATTTGGGCAGTAAGTGGTGAAGCCAGAACTAGAACCCAGGACTGCAGGCCCCGGAGCCCAGCCTCTGCCCCCTCTCTGAGCTGGGCGCAGAGGGCAGCACCAGAACTATGCCCGCCGCCCTCTTTGCCCCGCATTTTATTACCCCAGGCACAGCTCCTCCCAGGCAGGGTCTCCCCTTTCCGGGACAGGGTCAGATAGCGGGAAAGGCCCAGGCTCTGGAGCCCACCAGCCAGCCTTTAACTCCCGCCTCCGCCTCTTGACGGTCTGCGAGTCCTCAGCTCTCCTGAGTCTCGGTTCCGCATCTGTGAAGTGGGATCATAACCCCCATCTCATGGGGCAGTTGGGAGCACGAGTCAGATGGCATGCACGGAGCCTGCCAGAGAACTGCAGGTACTGATTGGGTCGGGCTGCCGTCACAGAATACCACAGTCTGGGTATCACCAACCGGTGGTCCGCAGACCACTGGTGGTCCGTGAGGTCCAAAAGGTTGGCGACCGCTGGGTTTAAAAAACAGGGATTTATTTTCTCACAATTCTGGAGGCTGGAAGGCCCAAGGTCACAGTGTCAGCAGGGTTTGGTTTCTCTTGGGGCTTCTCCCCTTAGCTGCCAATGGCCATCTTCTCACTGTGTCCTCACATGGTTGTCCCTCTTTCTGTATGTTCTCCTGTGTCCTATCTCTTGTTATAAGGACACCAGTTGTATGGGATTAGGGCCCACCCTGATGAGCCCATTTAACTTAATTACCTTTTAAAGGTTCGATCTCCAAGTAGAGTCACATTCTAAGGCACAGGGCTTCAGCATGAGTTTGGGGCAGATCCAGCTCAGCTCATAGCATGCAGCCTGGGTACCTTTCACCCATGTCAGTTTAGATACATGGTCCTGAAGGAAAGGCAACAGGTAACATAAGATCTTTTTTATTTTTTAATATACTTTTATTGATTTCAGAGAGGAAGGGAGAGAGAGAAACATCAATGATGAGAGAGAATCACTGATCGGCTGCCTCCTGCATATCCCCTATGGGGGATGGAGCCCACAACCCGGGCATGTGCCCTTGACCGGAATCGAACCCGGGACCCTTCAGTCCGCAGGCCAATGCTCTATCCACTGAGCCAAACCAGCCAGGGCGGTAACATAAGATCTTAAATACGGAGGGGGATTGCACCCACCGTTCCATTCAGTGGGTGTGTATCCCAGAGGGAGAAGGCGGTGCGATGAAAGTTTGTTTTGCCTCCTTCATCACCAGTTCTCCTGTGTGTACACGTGAGCTGAGTGAGGTGCCCCCATTTAAGGATACACGTTTCTCATGCCGCATGCCGTAAGCACCCGTCAGCCACTTTATCTGTGCTCAGCCAAAGGAGCAGTGACCAGGGTTACTTTGGGCTGCCCATGCATTTCACCTTGTACTTTAGAATTGTAGCAAACACCACAGGGGCCCGTCCTGCGTCCTAACCACCTGAGTTGACTTACAGGTCTCCTACCTCCCATGTAGCCCGAGGGCACCACCCGGAAACAGGAGAGTTAACCCCTGGGAGAAAGGACTGTGAGTCCCAGGGTACCTGCCCCCACCCCCTGGGGGGAGGTCTGACTCTGCTTGGTCTCTCGGAGGGTCCCTGGTGGATGAAGCCCCCGTGGCCCAGAGCAATAACCTGCTCATAGTAGGCCCTCACGTTCCCTGTTTCCTCACCTGTCACTTCCTGGAGTCATCTCCCAAATTCACCGCCTGTGCGCATGTCCGTGTGTCAGGGACTGCTTCTGGGGAAATCCAGGGCTAGACTGGAACCCACCCGCCTGAGAGATGCTCCTGACATGCGGTAGCCTCCATCGGCTGTCCACCATAGATGTCTGGGAACCTGCTGAGTGCCAGTCCCTCTTCCGGGACTCGGGTGCACGTGGGTCTCCTACTCCACCCTGGTCCACTGGCTCTGGAACCACACCTACTAAGTGCTTTCCTCTTCCTCCCGCCCAGGTGATCGAGAAGAACTTGAGTGGCTGGTGGTACATTCAGATCGAAGATAAGGAAGGCTGGGCCCCAGCAACCTTCATTGACAAGTATAAGAAGACCAGCAATGCCTCCAGACCCAACTTCCTGGCTCCCTTGCCCAACGAGATGGCCCAGCTCCGGCTGGGGGATGCAGCGATGGAGAACAGCACGGGCGGTGAAGCGGGCGGCCCCTCTCGGCCCCTGCCCGATGCACCGCTCGGTGCCGTGGACTCTGGGATACCGAGGTCCAAAGACTGGAAGGGTGGAAAGGAGGTCCTGAGAAAGGCGTCTTCCGACGTGCCGTGCACAGGCTACGAGGAGATCTCCAACCTCAACCAGGAGGAGAAGCCCAGCCTCCCTCCCCGGAAGGAATCCATCATCAAGTCGGAAGGGGAGCTGCAGGAGCGCGAGCGGCAGAGGCTGGAGCAGCTCAGGGGCTCCTCGCCCAAGCCTCCCGGCATGATTTTGCCAATGATTCCAGCTAAACACAGCCCCCCGACCCGGGACGGCAAGAAGCCAGAGCCCAAACCTGACAAAAGCAAGGTGTTCCAGCTGAAAAATGAGATGGGGCTGGAGTGTGGCCATAAAGTATTGGCCAAGGAAGTGAAGAAGCCCAACCTCCGGCCCATCTCCAAATCCAAAGCCGACCCGCCGGAGGAGAAGCCAGAAGCCATGCCCCAGAACCCCTTCCTGAAGTCCAAACCTCAGGTGAGGCCGAAACCAGCTTCCTCCCCCAGGATCGAGGCACCTCAGGGCGAAGAGCAGGTGGACATCTGCAACCTCAGGAGCAAGCTCAGGCCCGCCAAGCCCCACGAGAAGCCCTTGCTGGACGGAGAGAGCAGCCACCAGGCTGTCGGGGGCCAAGACGCGGCCTTCAGCCGCAGCTTCCTCCCAGGGGAGGGGCCTGGGCGCGCTCCGGACAGGACGGGCAAGCAGGACGGGCTCAGCCCCAAGGAGATACCCTGCAGACCCCCTCCGAAGCCAGCCAAGGCCACGGATCCTGCGCCTAAGAACGCGCCCGCGCCTCTCAAGGAGGCTCCCCAAGAGGCTCCCCAGCAGAGACCCGTGATCCCGCCCCGCAGACCACCGCCCCCCAAGAAGACCTCCTCACCCAGGCCCCTCCCGGAGCCCATGGGGCCACAGCGGGAGGCCAACGAAGGCAGGGCACCCCCTGCCCCAGGCCGGGCCCTGCTGGTCCCTCCAAAAGCCAAACCTTTTCTGGCCAACTCCTCAGGGGGCCAAGATGACATCCGAGGGAGAGGCGGGCTGGGCCCACGGCTGGCGGGCAAGATGGGAGAGAACAGGGAGAAGGCGGCGGCGGCCCCCTTCCCCAGTGCCGACAGCCCGAAGGACCTGTACGTGGCCGTGGCCAACTTCGAAGGGGATGAAGACGCTAGCAGCTTCCAGGAGGGGACGGTGTTCGAGGTCCGGGAGAAGAACAGCAGCGGCTGGTGGTTCTGCCAGGTGCTCAGCGGGGCGCCCTCCTGGGAAGGCTGGATTCCTTCCAACTATCTCCGCAAGAAGCCCTAGCCTCCCCGTGGGGAGGTCCCGCGCATCCCCGCTGGTTTTGCCCACATATTTAATATGCCTCTTAATTTATCATCCTCCACGCGGCTGCGAAGGAAGGCAGGCTCTGGAGGACTGTGGTTTCTTCCCTCCCGTGGGTGGAGCCAGCCCTGGAGGCGCAGCGGCCACGCCCTGGCTCTCTCTCCACTCGGTATCCCTGCCTTAAGGCCCGTGGCATCGCCACCCGCTTGTCTGCCCGCCCAGCGGCGGGACCGTGACTCTCCAGGCCTCCAGAAGCGGAACCCACCACGTGGAGAACCTGCAGGAGGATTTCTCGTTGCTGGGACCCGGCGCAGTGAGGGGAGTCCCTGGCAGCCCATCAGCCTGTGACAGCTTGCTCCAACCTCTCCATGTCTAAAAGCTGGGTGACTTTATTCACCCCCTTTCCAATTGCCCGGTACCAGGAAGGACTGTTCCCTATAGAAGTGGGCTCCGTGGCCTCCTCTCCGAGGCCTCAGGCCCCTGGGCCTCTCAGGTTTGACCAGATGCAACCGCCCCACGAGTGAGTGGGCCTGGAGGTCCACTCGGCCGGCCCTCTGCCTCCCAGCTTCTGTCTTGGGAACCTGATCCGGCCTGAAGGGGCGGGTCCAGCCTGGAGCCAGTGCCAGCCTCCGGACAATCCCCCCCCACCCTGGGGCACTTCGCTTCTGTCCACTTAGAGCAAGAATCTCCACGTTTGCTTGAAAAAAGAGGACCATTAACAAGCCATGCTCCGTTCCGAGCACCCCTTTGCCGAGTAGCCATTCGGTCCCAAACTGTGTACGAGGCACTTTGCGTTCGTGTTTAACCCTCACAACAACCCTCTCTTGTAATATACCCATTTTATAGCGAGGAAGAGCGGGAAGAGGACTTGAATCCAGGCCTGCCTGGCTGCCACCCCTGTGCCCTTCCCCTTGGAAGAGGCAAACCAGGCAGGGGAGGGAGAGAGAGAGCTTAGGGAGCAGAGGGAGCTGAGGTGGTCTCACCTGCCAGCCTTGAGGGGCCCAGGTGGCTCAAAGCCTGGTTCTCCATCAGGCTGAGCATCGCGAGCAGTGGCCTCCTCAGATGACAGGGCCAGGCAGTGCCTCCTGTCGCTCCCTGCTGCTGCTTCCCACTCCTCTCTGGCTCTCACAGTCCCCTTCCACACACACACACACACACACACACACACACACCCCGCACGCCCCCTCTCTGTCTCACTGGATGGAACCCAGGGCAGCCCTCCCACCCATTTGATGGTGTGGTTCACATAGTCACGGCCACATACGGAACTAGAACCAGGACCCTGGGTTTCCAGCTCCAGGCCCAGAGCTCCTGCCTGTGGGCCGGGCTGCCTGGGGTGAGAGGGCAGTACCCACCCCCCTCCCTGCAGGAGAGGACGTGGCCCTGTCCTGCCCCAGAGGCTCCGAGTCAGTGTTGATTGGCTGCCATGCCTGTGGAACCCAAAAGCCAGCTTTCCTGGGGGTGCTCGCTGTCTACCTTCAGTGCCAAAGGTCCTCCCCCACCGCCTGGGCTCTGGATGTGTCTGCGGGAGAAGGAGCCTCCTCAGACCCCAGACCATCTCGTTCCTTCAGTCGGCCTGTAAGTCTTGTCCCCCAAACCCGGGGGCAGGGCCCGAGGTACTCCTCGCTGCCCCTGCTGGCCCTTGGCCCCTGCCCAGAACCCTGGGGGGAGCAGGGAGGCGGCTGGAAGAGGGCCGCCCACCTCTTCCCGGTCCCCACACTCGGGAGGAGGCCCCAGAGCATGTTTCCCTGCCCCTTTGGTTTACGCCACCTTTATGAAGCTGTTATGCAGGATTTGACTACATTTCAAGACAGAACTCTAAATTTCTTTTCCTGGTTCCCTTTCTGCTTTCATGGACCTTTCCAAGCTTTTCCTGAGCTCCTACTGCGTGCCAGGCGCGGGGCAGGCCAGGCTGCACGCGGCCCCCTGCGCCCCTGCCCGGCTGGCTGTGGGAGCTTTGCTTTCCGTTCGCTGATTCCACTGAAGGTGCTTGTCTTTGACCTCAGACCCTCTTCCCGGGATCAGCCGGGTGAGGAGGGACTCGTTCTTTCTCTGGGCAGAATGTTTTTCTGCGAATGAAAGAACTTGCCTTTATTATTATTATTTTTATTATTATTGTTATTATTATTCTGATGGGAACTGAAGGTACTAAAGCCACATTCCTCTCTGTTCACTGTTCTTTCCTCGGGATACACTTGTGTCCCGAGGCCCCTCCCTCAGCATCTTTTGCCACAGGGTGGGCACGTCCCCAGGCACCTGGAAGTGGGGGTCTTGGTGGCAGTGGCTCTCCCTCGCTGTCCTGGACTGTGGACTTATGTTCACACCCTCCAGGACTGTGGCCTCTATTCGGTGAGCAATTGACAGAGCAAACGCAGAACTCCCCTGGCATTCCCGCCGCCGTGGGAATTGGCCTCCGGCCGTAGGAACAACCCCCACGCCAAGCCGGCAGGCCCCCGGGGCTCAGACCCGCTCCCCGCTTTAGCGTGGTCCTCGAGGTAGCCCTGGGAGGGGCGTGAGGTCAGTCCCAATCTGTAGTGAGAAAATCGGGGTTCAGGGGGTGAGGTCGCGTTCCTGTCTTCATCCAAATAGTGACTGACCAAGCGGAGACGAACCCCAGGGGTTTTCTCCCCGCGCCCGTGACTCCTCTGCCCCCAGCAGTGAAGTGTACGTGGGCTTCCAGGGGAGCAGGGGGCCCTCCCTGTGACTTCGAGTTTCTCCTCGCCTGCCCCACGATGACAGGTCCGTGGGTCACAGGTAAATGCGACTCTGAAAGGCAGACACTGACACCACCACCCCTCTTCCTTCCTGTATTTCACCCTACACCTTAGGGTAAGACTACAGCTCGTGGTGCCACCAAACCTTAGGAAAATCTGAGTGTTGGGGTTACCGCTTGATAGAATAGGCCTTTGCTGAAATTCTCCCGCTCAGAATTTCTTTGCCATTCAGTGGGGTTAGGTCCTTGTCCCGGGTTGAGGCGTGGGGAGGGCCGGAGCCGCTTTTACTACCCTCGCCTTCTGAGGAATCCGAGGGCCCAGTCAGGCTTCCTGCCTTTGTGAGCCTCCGCCACGCTTTCTCAGGCTGCGTTCTCAGCCTTAAAATATCCCTGAGCCCACGGGGGATTTCACTCCCAGGTGGAAGAGGGAAACAAAGGCCACATTCAAGGGCAGGTGCCCGATCTCCCAGGGTCTGGAAGACCTTAGGGATGGGCAGTCTTGTGTTTATTCAGCCCGTACCAGGTACCAGCGCTGAGCGCTCCCGCCCTCACATAGCTGAACTGGATGGACATCAAGAAAGATGGAAGGCTTGGCCTTCCTCCTGTCCTTGTGCCAAGTCTCTAACTGTTGGGTCCTCCTCCTCCTGGGAGGTCTTGCCTTGTCTTGGGACTGACAGTGGGTGCACAACAGCCTTAGCCATCCATGGGCCATCTGGCGCCCCTTGGTCATCCAGGCCCATCCTCCCGGGCTTTTGCTGCAAGCAGCCATGCCATGCCATAGACCAAAGACGACCTAGTGTCAAGTTGTGGCCCGGATGAGTGGTCATTGGCTCACACGGAGGCCTGAGGGTGCAGGGCACCCTCCCTGGGTCCGGAGGAAGTGCTCCAAACGTAGACACGGTTCTGACTTTGCACCGTTAAAGCCAGGAGGCTCCACAGCCCACTCAGACCACCTGTGAGGACCCTTCCCACTGCCGCGACCGTCCGGCTCCGTGGGGTGATGTCTGTTTCTGGCGCTACCCTGCGGGTTACTGAGCCCCGCCTCGTGCTTCAACATTCCATCCTCCTTCCCGTTTCTACCCTGTTCTCCGGAGGAGGCCTCCCTAGTTCCAACCGGGGACAAGGGGGCTCCATCTCTTCCCTGGAAGAAGCCAAACCCAGTGCCACAGCCGGCGCTTTCCGGGTCCTCTGTGGACTCGAGGTTGCAGCAATAAGCAATTCTGAGGCCACAGAGGTGTCCACACCTCACCCCTCTGTATGCCTGTCCATGCCTTTGGGCCCATCTCGCTGTTCATGGTGCCCCTTTCACTTCCGGGGGTGGTGAGGAGCAATGGTCACCTTCGCCACTGCCCCCGTGTCCTGCATCAGGGAGCAGCACGTCAGCGGGCCATGCCTGCATCCCTCCAGGAGCAGCGGGCTCCGGCGCCGTTGCCCCGCCACCTCGTGTCCGCTCACAGGATGATGCTGGCGATCTCTGGACACTCGGCACTCCTACACCCTCGGCAAATGGACAGATTCTGGTGGTGGTTTTTGTTTTCTTTTAACACAAAAAAATACATGAGGATATGTAATGTGAGGGGGGTGGTGGTGAACAATTAACTGTAGCATGTATAGACTATATACTTACCATTAGACTTTTTTCTTTCTTTTTTTTTTAATAAAAAAATAGTGCTTGACTGGTTTCAAGCTTCATTGTGAAGATGCCGTGTCTGTGCATTTATTGGGCTGCGGAGCGGGTGCATGGCTTTTGCCCTGCCATCTGGGCCTGCAGTTCTGAGGTCCGAGAATAGAAGTGAATGTGAGCGTTTAGGTTTGGGCATTGCCCAGAAATAGGGCTGGCTTCCCTCTCTGGGCCCTAGTGCACCTTGGTTCTCCCAACAACATTGTCCAGAAACCACGGGAAAGCTGTGTCTCCCACACGTTAGCTCCGCCTGAGCCGGAGCACGTCACATGGTCAAGGAGTAGAGCTCTCGTGTTGCCTGACAGGCAGGTGTGTGTGGTGCAGGCTGGGGGATCTGCAGGGACCGCCCAGGCCATCTGCTCCCAGGAGGTGGAGGGCATTGCCTGAGCTTCTATGACTTTCCCAGGGGCAGAGCCAAGACAAAACCAACCCCGGTGTGCAGCCTTCTTGTTCCAGATGAGTCTTAAACTAAATGACACCCGCCTTCCTAGAGCAAGAAGAGTAGGACCAGCAGAGTCCTGAGCAGAACTGCCAGTGGGGTTTACATGCAACATCCATCCTCCCTCGGAGGGAACATTGCAGAGACCCGTGCCTGCTGGCAGAGCTTGCTGAGGGACAGTGGTCATTCGTTGCAGTGTTATCTCTGTTCCCATAAGAAGGAAAAGCATTAGGGGGTTCAGGTCGCCCTGGGAAGCATTTTCTCCCAAACCTTCCAAACCAGGAGTGCTTGGCCATCAGGATACAAGCAGCCTGGGCTTCCCTGGCAGGTGGAGAGGGGCGCGGGGCCTCCTGGGATGGGAACCGGACCGTGGCCAGGAACCAGACCTGACCTATTCTCAGGGGGCGCTCATCCCCCCCCTGCAGGTCTCGCTTGGAACCAGCGCCCACCATGCTGTCCTCTGCTCCAGGAATGCCACACCACACGCCAGCCAGCTCTCGGTCACCCTCCCAGGAGGCGGAGGGCATTGGCGAATCCGTGGGTCCACGACACACCGTGGGGCTGTTCCTCTGAGTCCAGGGTCCTTCATGTCCGTCCCTTCTCCAGTTCCCTGTCCATCTGGTCCTCACATTCTTGCCACCCAGGATTCCCAGCCAGTGAGTCTCAGATTTTAGTGACCCTGGAATGAGCCAGGGAGCTTGTCACAGTGCCCGTTCCTGGGCTGCACCCCTCAAAGTCCGAATCAGCGGGAATCTGTACCCTTTAAGAAGTACATTGTGAGGAAGTAGTCCGTGTGCTCCCTCTGAGAAACGGAGGGGCTCGGCACCTTGCCTGGCGGCATCGAGAGTATTCGAAGATGGTGCTTTGTCCTATTCGTATCAGCGTCACCTGTCATTTCCTGAGCATGTGCTGTGTTCCAGGCCTGTGGGGCACACTACACACCCTTTCACTTCACCCTCAAAGTGCTCCATGAAGTCGACTCCTGCATTTGACATGTGAAGAAGGCACCGACTGGGTCAGGGTCCCCCCGTGTGTGGTGTGTGGTTCTATGTACTGCACACTGTGCCTCTCCCAAGTGCTAATCCAAGCACAGAGCTCACCCTGGTGCAATTAGTTCCTGGGTTCAAGATGGTCCGCAAGAAATATTTCTTTTCCAAAAACCCAAGTCCGTAAAAAGGAAAAGGTCTAACTTTCCTTGAGCACATGCTATTGACTGGGAACCTTGTAGATATGTCTGTTTAATCTTCACTACGACAGTTCTAGGTAGGCATGCTTTATACCCATTTTATGGATGGAAGTTAATAGTCCAAGGCTAAGTTTACCCATGGTCAGAGCTAATCTGAGGATGAGCTCGGGTGTCTAACTCCAAAGCCCCTCACATTAAAAGATCTGGAATCTCCCAAGTCCATACTCCTCACTCGGCTTTTTCCAAAGTGTTTCCCGGAACAAATGCCAGTGAATACTTGGAAGGAAGTGTTCCGTGGGCATGTTCGTTTGGGAAATAAACAGTTTCTTTACAGCAGGGCTTCTCGAAGCCTATTATATAATAACAAGCAGTTTCAACTTGGTTGCTCAGACGTACTTGACCATGAAGCCATTCACAGGAGCAGTGTTTCATGTGATATAAAAGCTGGAAAATGTCGCATTTCACATTTCAACTCTACCTTGAATTCTCTCTGAACCACGACCCTTAGCCAATCCCTCCCCCTAATTCCAGCTGCAACTCTCCCCACTCAGGGCAATCCAGTCTTTAATGCTAACATTCACAGCATCACAGGACACTGTCCTTCTCCAGAGGGACAGCTGCACATGAACTTGGGTGTCTCCTATTCGCTATTGGTCTGACTCGGAGAAATCCGAATGGATTTCCCCGTTGTCTGCTGGCTGCTGACTAGGCTCATTTTAGCTGATTTCTTATAATAAAATATATATACAAAATTAAAAGTGTCTGAAGGATAAGCTAAAAAACGTATAATGAAAAGATCTAATTTTTCACTGTGCTTCAGTGGCAAGTCTTACGCGTCCCCCTAGGGCGCACGGACCCCGCTTTGTAAACCGCTGAGGAAGGAACGGTGATGGGCTCTGGGACTAGACAGAGCTCGGTTTGAGTTCTGGCTCTGATAGAACACCACCTCTGTGAGGCTGAGCATCCTCATCTGTAACACGGGGACCAGAAAGCCTTCCCCACAGCGCTGCGAAGAGGACTAGAAGTCGTGTGTGCCTCACACACAGAATTCATAGTCCTCACACGCGTTCATTGCCTGGTGCAGGAGTTGGCAAACAGCTTAAAGAGTCAGATAGTAAATATTTTGGGCTTTGGGAGCCAGGAGGCAAAACCAGAATGTTATGCAAGGACTTACATAACTCCTTAAAATGTAACCAGTTAGCCTGTAAAAGCCATTCTTAGCTCTGTACAAAAACAGGCAGCTGGCGGGATTAGGCCCTGGGGCGGTGGTTTGCCAACCCCCCTGGCCCAGGGTAGCCGCATCTCCTATTTTATTACTACTTTTCTCTAAATGGAAGTTTTTCCACCGTGTGTTTATGGAACATCAGCCCCTCACATGATCGTGGCACGGCATCGTGCGGTCAAACCCACTTGGCAGCCACCGCGCGAGCATCTTCCAAGCCTCCTCCTTGGGGATCCGTGTCACACGCTGCGTGTGAAAGGCCCTGAGAAGCCTGCCATCACGAACCCGTTTACCCTGCGTTAACCCAGTGTCTCCAAATTGTATTTGACAACAGAGTTCTTTTTCCCCCCCACATAGCGTTCAGGAACATCCCACAGAACAGACTTCGGAACATGCCGTTGTAGATCCCGGAATGTAATCGTTACTCAGAACGTCTCGGTGTTAAATTGAGTCCAGGCCCCATCAGGCGAGCCTCTGAGGACTGTGACTTGGAGGGTGCGTCTTAGGATCTTCAGCGAGTAACCAGGCCAACTCGGTCTTCCTTCGGAAGGAACTGCATTCTTCTCGCCGTGTGTGCCTCGGGATCACGTGGAGGGAAGTCCCTCCGAGAAGGGTCGGGGTGCCTGAGAGAGCACATGTGCACTGTGGGAAGTAAGCAGCAGCCACTGGGTGTCCTTGGAGGGGATTTGAGAACCAGGTCATGTCCTTGCTGTTGAGAACATGGACCTGCCAAACTACTTCCAGTGTATTTTTTCACTGGTCAGATGCATTGCTTCCGTACCATCTTAGTCCGTTCGGGCTGCTCTAACAAAGTGCCATCGACTGGGTGGCTTACACACAACGAAAGCTGATTTCTCACAGTTCTGGAGGTTGGAAGTCTGAGACCAGGGCGCCAGCATGGTCGGGTTTTGGGGAGAGCCCTCTTGTGGGTTGCACACTGCTCACTTCTTGTTGTATCTTCACGGGGTGGAAAGAGACCAAATTGGCTCTCTGGCCTCTTCTTATAAGAGCACTCCTCTCAGCTATCAGCCCCCGCCCCACCCCACCCCCCACCCCCCACGACCTAATCGCCTCCTAAGGGCCTTGCCTGCAAATATCACATCGGGGATTCGATGTCAACGTATGAATTTTGAAGGGACACAGACATTCAGTCCATAACATGTGTTAAGTCCAACTTGTTCTCTTCTCATTTGCCCATGATATTAGAAGTACTACTCGCCCGGGGTGCCAGTTCACTTGCTGATTGAACGCAGTGGCTGAGGTTGACAATCATATGCCTATCCATCTTTTAAAAAATATCACCAAGCCCTAACCGGTTTGGCTCAGTGGATAGAGCGTCGGCCTGCAGACTGAAGGGTCCCAGGTTCGATTCCGGTCAAGGGCATGTACCTTGGTTGAGGGCACATCCCCAGTGGGGAGTGTGCAGGAGGCAGCTGATCGATGTTTCTCTCTCATCGATGTTTCTGACTCTCTATCCCTCTCCCCTCCTCTCTGTAAAAATTCAATAAAATATATTTTTTTTAAAAAATATCACCAAAATGGAAATGCAAAGTGAAAACGTTCTCATAGAGAAGTTTTATACCCAAGTTAAGAAACACTGTTTCCCTGTTTCCTCATAACCCTCCTCTTCACTGTGCCAGGCCCTGGGGCTGAGCAGACAGACATTCTCAGTTGGAAAGTCTTTTTGCCGCCCGCCTCTCCACTTCCCGTCAGCACCCTGGGCGCGGGGAGGGGGGTGCACGGAAGCTCTGGGTTTGTTCTGGAAGGCGCTCAGAAGTGCCAGGATCACCCAGTGACTCACGTCCACGCCGGGGCTGGCTCCTGGGGGGCACACAGCAGCAGTGTGTTGAGAGACACCCGAAGCTGCTTCTGGAACTTCATTTCTACCCAAAAATTCGTTAGGGGGGAGGGAGGGCGGGAACTGGGACTCAAGATTTAAGCAATTTAACCAGCAAGTTATTTGACACATGTTTATGTTAAACAGGGACTTGTTGTGCAATAGAATATAAAGCTTGCCTGCGCTTTTGAGAGAAAACTGCAGACTTTGAAGAAATGGTTTCACTGGGCTGCTCGGGGTCAGCCCCGGGCCCTGGGCCCCAGGCCCCTGAGGGAACTTGAGTAGGTCAAGTTTGAGAAGCTACATGATTCATCAGCAAGGAACACAGAGCCCT